TGACAGGTTTTTGAGATACACAGCTACCTAACAGACAAACGGTCATTAAACTGAAGCACACACAGCAGGGTCCTAAAGGCTGGGTGGGGTGGACAGATAAGTGCCCACAGACTGATAAAGAGCAGACAATGCAGACAGCGCCGGCAGCCGCAAAACAAAACAACACAACACGCTGGTTCATTTCCTGAGAAGCTGAATGTGTTGAAGCTTCAAACTGTGATGCTGTGTTTAGTCTTGACGTCTTGAGAGCTGCTTTCTGACTCACATCTCAATTAAATCCTTTCAAACAGAAAGGTGAGGTGGAATAAATGCACAACATTCCCGACCTAAACAGGCTCTGGAGAAGGAGCTGTAGTCTCAAAAGTTATAATTATCACCCTAGAACTACACACATTTTATTTTATTTAAGATAGTCAAGGTGTTGCTATTTTAGTCAAATCAAAAACAACAGTAATTTTGCTCTTAAAAATCTGTAATCACAATTATTTTTTATATCTTTTTAATTTAAAACTGGGATTACACCTGAATTATCTTCAAAAATATCACTCAGACAGATTTATAGGCGACTTTGTCCAAAAAAAAAAAACATTTAAATCTTCATGAAATGCTCAAATCAAACATGTTTATAAGACTGATTTATTTATTAAGGGTTCCATGATCAATAAAGGTACAAGGGATGGGTCCAGCACCGTAGAGCAACTACTCCACTGTTGGCTTATAAATATCCGTTGAGTCTGGGTTCAGTTTGAGGTTACTGTCATAACTTTAAAAAACTGTTGAAATCACTGCATTTAGATAAAAATTTACTAGTTTAAACGACGACTCTCGTCTTGTTTTAATTTAACACAACGCCATTTCGTTTGTGCTGTTTCGTCTTTGTTTTCACTATCAATGAGAAATAAAACGGGTAACGCTGGAACAAAAGGATACAAGGGAAAGATTTTGTTACGTGTTTTTCCACTTGATCCCTATACCAGTATTATCACAGCAACACTGAGGCCCAGGGGCCAAAATGTAGGCCAATATAACACAGCACCTGAGGGTGCAGCATGTGACCGTCTGCTCACGGAGTGCAATGTGCGTCGTGTGACTTCATGGTTCACTTGTGTTTGTGTGTTTTCTAAATTACGCCTGATGTCCAGTGTGCATGAATTTAACCCTCACTGCATGTGATGACGATTGCTATCGGCATTTTTATGATCAATTTTCATTAATTATACTTAAAAGAAACAACAGTAGTACTTTAAGTAAATGTTAGTATGCTCAACATATATATACAACATATTCCACTATTTTCCACACCCTCTTATATAAATATGTATATAAATAAAGTTTAGATTTTCTTTTTCTTTGATGTCTGCTGTTACTATTTCCTGTCAGTGTGTCATTAAAATTTCATCTCGTCTAATAAGGTCACTTCATAGTCCTTCTAAAAGGTCACATCATGTTGACTGAAAAGGCTGTTGAGCACGCACGGACACACACACACACACACACACACAGCGGAGGAGAAATGTCAGACTATGCAGTATTGATGTCTGTCTCTATTACGACCAATTCAGGAGTGAACTCCCCCCCCCCCAAAAAGTCACCGGTTCAAATCCTAAAGTGAGTGAGTGGATTTAATTATATAGCGTTTAAAGAAACTTGTGTGCACACACTGACGCTGTTGGAGGCCATCGCCATGGTAACTGATGCCAAGTGGCAAGTGAGAGGAACTTGAGATGTAAGCGGGAAGTCGGGTAAGCGGAGAGGCAGGGGGTCAGGCAGGCAAACAAGCCTGTACTTTACCACAGGACCACAGGCTGCACAGTCACAGCGAGGCGGCTCACGTGATTAAAAATATATATATTTTGCAACTTATCCGGAACTAAGTGTCCGATGATGTGTTTTATCTGTGAATCAAACAGCCAGTGCAAGCAGTTACCACATCTTGATGTTAGATTTCCAGTGAATGAATTTTTTAGATTTTGTGTGTCGCAGGATTTCTGAGATAAAAATCTTCTAGATACTCAGTGAATATATAGAAGACGAGCATCAGGAAATAGATAACATCTGCTTTCGAATGCAGATGGCTCACCACAGTTTGCATCATCAGCCCTGTAATTCTTAACTAAGTACACCGTGCAGCCTCTCTATACATGAAGTGCCTCTCAAATGTAGAGATATCCATTCCCATGTTTCTGGGAGGGGCAACTCCGGACCTTTGCCCTCCTCCTTATCTCCCCTCGTCACATTATAAGATTTATAATGGTACATTTTGTACAGTTGGATCAAAGATACCCCACCCAGTGTTACTCCTTGGCGCAGAGATCTTAAAACCACTTTGTTTTGAAATAATACACGCTGTTTTCCCTAACGGTTAGATCATCCTTCTTCAATTATTTATCTGTAGATTGGAAAGGCACAATAAGGTAAACAATGCATAACATACAGGACACTTATGGCATCAGGCTCCTCCTGGCTATGACTAATTTATACCCTTGTCATTATTTGGTAAGTTACGAGAGTGTATTATTATAAGCTGTTTACATCAGTTGCCTTTTTGAGCTATTTATATTCCTGCTCACCAGCGACAGGGCAGCTCCTGGCCTCTCCACATGATGTCACATCATTAGACTTTTCCCAATCTCTAACATTTTTCTGCCATGCCTCGTGGGTTACCAATGTGGTTCTCTTTGCGCAATATATTTAAAAACATTAGGCTCTGAGCTGTTCGACAGCTGTTCATAGGACGGTGCAGCTTTAAGAGAGACCGTATGTCAGAAAGCAGTTGCATTTCCCAAAGCTTTGCAAAAGGCAGCAGCAAATCAAGTCTTATTCCCATCAAGGTGTTGCCTAAATTACTAAAACTGGACGACTCGGTGTCTAAATTCAACTGAGCTTACTTCAAATATGATCTGACTCTAACCAAGTAATCACATGATGCTCACTTCACATCTTAATCAGCTTAAACGACAGAACATTTACAAGTAATTTTCAGCAAAAGGAAAAAACAGACAGGCCTTGTGGAGATGTTCATTCATTATTATTTTGAGCTCTTATTTCTTGTGTATATCTGATCATCAGTAATGAGAGGCACTGAGGACTTTCTTCATTCCTCATGAGTGTATTCACAGCAACTGAGCGTATTCTCATAATTACTTAAAGAGTAAATCTCTCCGCCAAGCTTTGGGCCAATGTAGATCGTTTTCAACTCTCTGGGTGTAGACGTGTGTGTGTGTGTGTGTGTGTGTGTGTGTGTGTGTGTACTGCAGCTTGTTGCCAAACCCTCCCACTTCGTCAGCCAAGCCTACTAAGATGAGCCGCAGAGCCATTTCTTGGCCAAATGTCACACAGAGCGTCGTGCATCACCACCGCGACACCTCCAAAGCCAATTTACAGCAGCTGATCCGAGATCAGTGCGAAGTAACAGGGAAAGATGTGAACTAACGAAGAGACGAGTTATTCTGTTGGGATTACTTAAAAAGAAACGCTAAGTGCCAGAAAAGTTTGGTGAAATTTTACAGTCAGATACTGATGCCACCACGGACACACAAAGCCGAATCGCTCACTCGCTGTGCTGAGCTACAGACTCAGCAAGTGTGTGTATCTACTGTCTGTGACCTTGAGACGAGATGCCTGAGAAAGGAAAAATACATCCCTGCGGGGGATGGCGTCAGTGTGTGTACGTCCTCCTGAGAGAGGGGTGTGTGCACGTGTGTGTATGTGTGTGTGTGTGTGTGTATGTGTATGTGTATGTGTGTGTGTTTGTGTGTGTGTGTGTGCAGGGAACGAGGAAAAGCAGCGAAGGAACAGAGAAGTGAAATGGGGAAGTGTTTTTGATATCACAGACCTGACTGGTGGTTACATTTAATTTCTGACGAAGCCTTGAGTCATGTTTTTGTCATGAGAACAGCTCTGGTGTATTTTCTGACTGTGTTAAGTGGTGTTTATATTTTGGACTGGAAGAAATAAACCTACTTTCTCATCAGTGACCCGACTAAGAATATCTACAGGCTGAATATAGTAAATGATAAAGATGGTGACTAGATTACGTGTCCCGCTGTCACTTAGAAAAAGTATTATTATTAGCACTGGAAGAATATATATACACAGTTTCTTAAACTTATCTGCTGGCAAACAAAACAACAGTTAATGTTTTGGTTGTTCTACACTGTGTCACAGGCAGGATAAATCCCTACATCACTGATCCCTAAGATTTGTTGCTTTGCCTACTCCACAGAGGTCAAAGGTCAAACTCTGCTGTAACCTCCTTGTTTAAACACACCCTGACTGCTCACTAAACCAAGCTTAACAGGCTGTGCTGCTGCTTTTCTGTGTTTTATGTAACAGTTTGCTCAATAAAATGTCATAAAATAGTGAAAAATGCCTGTTGTAATTTTCCACAGCCCAAGGAGATTGTCCGCAGATGTCTCGTTTTGACCGAGCAACAGCCGAAAACGACAAAGTTGTTCAGTTTACCATCAAATGTGACCAAGAAAACAGGGATCAAATCCTGATATTTGAGAGGAAGGAATCAGCAGTGTGGCTTTTTTGCTTTAAAAGAAGACAAAGCCGATTATTAGATTGTCAAGATAGTTTAAGATTCATTTCTGTTGATCAGTTAATCGATTAATTAAAAACTAAACTGCTCTGCCTCCATCACAATCACTGCAAAATTAGGTAATCTGATGAGGGTGGGGAGGCCTTACTCATTGTGACACATGCAGAATAAAAGGGAAATCATACTAAGATAGAGAAGCAGGGGCCCTGACACACACACACACACACACTGAGCTTCATCCATATCTACTACACATCTCCTTTGTGGTGCTGTAGGGATTTCAGATGTGTGCACTTTCACTAAATCTTAACACACACAAATCTTGAGGGAAACTCGGTGACTTTTTCTGAGCCACAAATCTCTGCTGCCTGTCTCTTAAACAGCCACAAAATTAACTGTTCGCTTCACCACGTGTCACTAAATTGCATAACAGTGTTGTACGATTTCCACAAACCTTTCTTGAACTCCTCCAGCATGGAGTCCAGCTTGGTGTCATGGAAGACAAAGTGGACCGGATGGTTGTAGAACTTGGTGATGGTCTTCAGGGTTGTGCAGTCGTCCGGGTCCACGAAGGCCAGGTCCTTGACGAACAGGATGTCCACGATGTTGGACCGCTCGTCCTCGTACACGGGTATCCTCGTGTATCCGCTCTCCATGATCTCGGACATGGTGTTGAAGTCCAACACGGCGTCGCTGTGGATCATGAAACAGTTGCTGAGTGGAGTCATGACATCCTCCACCGTTTTGGTCCTGAGCTCCAGCGCGCCTTGGATCATGTTGAGCTCCTCTTTCACCAGGTCGTTGTAGGGCTCGGTGACTTTCAGCATCTCCACCAGCTTCTCCCGGTTGTACACGGTGCCGATCTCCTGCCCGAGGACGCAGTCCAGGATCTTGCTGATGGGCCACGACAGAGGGAAAGTTAACAGCATGAACAACTTGGTGACCAGGATGGTGTTCGCCCCGACTGCCAGACCGTGCCGAGAGCACAGCGCCTGCGGGACGATCTCGCCGAAAATAACGATACCAATAGTGGAGGCGACCACAGCGCCGACACCGGAGTTGGTGAGGTCGTCCAGAAGGATGGTGAGGGTGGTGTTGACCAGGACGTTGCCGAGAAGCAGCGAGCACAGCAGGTAGTTTCCCTTCCTGCGGATGGGCTCGATCTTCCGCGCGTACTTCTTCTCCTTCTCGGTGCCACAGCTCTGCACGATGCGGAGCTCCATCGGGTCCAGCGCCATCAGCCCCAGGTTGAGCCCGCTGAACATGCCGGACAGCACCAGCAGGAAGGAGATGAGGATCACCTGCAGCCAGATGGGCAGCAGGGACTTCTTCTCCTCCACCACCCGCAGTCTGCCGTCCTTATCGTCCAGCAGGTACCACTTCTCCTCCTCCTCCTGGGTGTCGCGGACGCACAAGCCGAACACCTTCACCACCTCGCTCTTGCGGAGCTGCTTTATCCGGATGCTGACCACCCCAGAGGTGTTTTGGTTGCTTACCTCCATGGGTGGCTTCACTACTATATCCTTCGTGTGTTCGGGACAAGTCCTATTGGAGGAGACCATGATAGCGTCGAGAGCATCGTCCTCTTTATCACTGGAGTACAGTTCCGTGAACCTGATGAGCGTCGAGCTGTTTGGGAACAAGTGGAGCCCGTAGAACCTGAAGAGGATGTCGCTGCCCTCGGTCACCTGAATAACCCCTCTCTCGGTGGTCTCCGCCGGTCTGTCGCTCTTCTCCAACCTCATGCCGAGTATCCGAGTGACGCTTCTCGACTCCGAAACCCCCGCCTCGGCCTGACTGCCCGCAAAAATACAAAAAAAGACGAATAAAGTTAGCGTAAACCCCCGTCCAGTCACATCTATCGCCATGTTTGTTTCGCTCTCTGCGAACGGGGGAACTGACGTCACCTACTCGTCTCTACAAGCCCACCCCCCACCCTCATCTGCATACCCCGAAAATATAGCCAATCAGTGACGGATACGTCACTAGAAAACTTTGACCGAGCCCCCTCAGTTTTAATTTTAAGGTAGACTGGTAGTTTTTGATTTTAAGGTCGACCATGCGGGTTATTAAATTCCACTGACATTGGTTTTTACTCTGATTTATTTTCATGACTGGATTAACTTCCTCCTCCTCCTACCACAGGGGCAAAAACTTGTTGCTTTGCCCCTATTGACCCCCAATATACGTGGTGGTCATTATTTCCCCTGTCACCCAGACACCAAACTGTTCCAAAAAATCAGAAGGAATAAAGAATCAGAATCAGAATCAGAATACTTTATTTATTCCCAGGGGAGAAATTGATTAATTGAATTGATTGAATTAGTTGATAAACATTAGACAACAATTTTGACTTTTTAAGCCAAAATCTTGAAAAAAAAAATACTGGTACCAGCTTCGCAAATGTGAGACATTGCTAGTTTCCCAGTTTTCTCTCACAGTAAAGTCAACATCTTTGTAATTTTGACTGTTGGTCAGACAAAACAAGCTATTTGAATATAATAAATAATATTAGCATTTTTCACTCTTTATTTTTAATTTTTTAAAAGAGCTGAGAAATTTAAATTGCAATCATTGTTATTTAAATTCATCTCCAGGCCTGTTATAGGTCTATATGGGATTAAACAAGGTGCATTTTACCAAACTGAACAACACATTTATTTTGATATGAAATCAGATAAAATGATACAACTTTTTGCTTGTTGAGGTACTTGAGGTATTTTTACAGAAAAGTCAGATAATCAACTTATAAGTAAACCTGCTTTCTATGGGACAGCATTAAGTTCACATTTAGTGTATTAAATTAGTCAAATATGTGATATTCTTCATTAATGTTCAAGAATTAAGACATTCATAATTGGTGTAGTTTATTGATAACAACTGTGTAGTTGCTTTTGTTGATCCAAAACTTAAAAGTCAAAATTACATATAAAACATGGAATCAGCCTAATAAATACTCACTGTGTGCAAGTTGTTTGGTAAACTCCATTCAAGGTTGCTAAAAATAACCCAAACTCCCAGAAAAAATACTACTCATATGACCTAAGTGTCCTCAAAGGCGGCTGTGGCCCAGTTTGACAGGGTTCACTGTCATTCTAATGGTTGCTTCGTGGGGAAAAAAGAAGTCACGTATTTATCAATCTCCTTAACTAATGACACTGTGGTCATTACTCAGGGATCACATGAATAGTAAGGCATAGGAATGGCATCAAAACCGATTACACAAATTACACTACCTGATTTACATGTAATCTAAAATTTGCATACAAAAGATGATAAGTTACAAAGACCACACGACAATGGAAATCATAATAACTGACCCCAACTCCCTGTTAGCGTCTCAAATTTACAGAGGAAGTTTTTGTGTGCATTTCTGACTTATGAGACACCACTGTGGTAGAAAAAAAAAGGACTATATGAACCCTAGCCCCTGTGTTATTATTATTTTTTTAAACTTTAAATTAAAAAGATTGAAAGATGAAAAACTATCAGAGTGAAAAGAATCATAAAACTCATTTTATTCTGAATCCTTTACTGAGGACAGAGGTCCCTCTTGTGGTCAAATCATGGACAGTGCAGACTGATGGACCACTGTGAAAACTGTGAAACTGATGGTACTCGAATAGAAAGCAACTCAACATCCCCACACAGTATTAATTGTGCTTAAAATTGTGGTATGATGAATGCATATCGAATTATATAGTTATTAATGTAATTTCTTACTTTTCTTATCATTTACAGATACAACTCCACAGCTCTTAGATAAACTGTAGAGTTCAGATTATAACATAAAATGGAGTCTAACACCTTTTCAGTTGTTTATTTTCACTTTTCCTGTTGGTTTTTCATTTTTTGATTTAACTAATATTTTTTAAGTTAATGAAATAGAAAGTGAAATTCATATTTACTTATTTTCACTTCAAAAATCAACAAAATATGTAGGCTAATTTACCCAGTAGTGACCAAACCTTTGCATACATCTGATGGTAATAGTAAGCAATATGTCATAATGCACAATAATACTAATTAAGTGAAAGGTTAGAAGTTTAATTCATTAATCATTTGGCAAAGGGTTGTATAACAAGATGAGACTCCACCATAATTTTTTATTTTTTTTATTTTTATGATATCTTATTTATTCACTCATTTACTGTAAGCCTATATCATTTTTGTTGGTCCGTGCATGAAGTATAATTCTTCTGCAGTTGTTCACGCTGTATAAAGAAAAATGCCAGCTTAAGGGCTATTGCCTAATTTCATTGTCGTACTTGTGCTAAATGCAAATGTAAGATGACGTTTGTGAGCTCCTTCGTCATTAGCTGATACAACGCTTTGCGTGTGTTATTGTCCCACTGAATGAAGACGTGCAATTAGATTCAGCGCATCAAAGCGTCAGTTTGTTCCATTACCCAACTTGTACAATGAAGATTGAACAAGGAAGTCAAAAACCGGAAATAGAGACAGCTCGTCTTCAAAGTAAAGTTTGCACGTTTTGAACAAACGTGCTGGCTGCATCGTTCAATTAAAGAGCTAAGCTGAATAAACAAACTGTAATTAATGAACATAATTCATAACTGTTAGGGTTTTCCATAAGCCCACAACTGATAGGGAATACATTTCCAATGAACACTTTATTATAAAATCTTACCATTTATGTATTCATCAATTAATTTGAGTAAGGTTACTTAATCTGTTACTTTGGGTGACCATTAAAGGTTTTATATGTATACAGCATGTGTATCTTTCTCTCTCACACACACACACACACACACACACACACACACACACACAGGTTACTGTTCATTGTTGGGGAGAGGTGATGGGGTCAGTTTGATGTATGGTTGGAACATAAAAGGTTTAGGGGTTGTTGCACAGTTTAACCCAACCAAAATGACTGAGGAACAGTGTTGGGTCTGTAAATAATGTGGCAGCCTAATAAAAGAAGCCAAGTAAAACATCTGTGATGTATAATAAACCAAACAAATTGAAGAAGAAAACAAGATAAAGTGCAGTAAGGTGTTGAAAACACCTTCAGTGATTGTTAAACTGGGTTGAGAACTGGTGACTATGAAGGCCACAGCATATGATTCACGTCATTTCATTCTATTCAAACCGTTCAGGTCACTGGTGTGCACATTAAACACATGCATCCAAGAGACATTTAACCATTTATTTTGTTCAGGAAATTCAGCAAGGAACTGATGGTAGGATGGATAGATGATTTCTTCAGTACAACAAACAAAAGTAAATACCTTGCCATGCATATCACAAAGTTAATAAATAAAGAGCAACTAAAACATCTTACATTCTTAATGCATCCAAAGGAAAAACAAAAGGAATTCAAACATTCACCAGGGTTTTGCTTATCCTGATAACAAAGAACATAATTAAATGCAGGATACAACTTTACTACTTCTGGTTCTAAATTACAACAATTTGCCTTACTAACAATTTTCAAATAATAACACAAGTGGTGTTTTTTTTTTTTTTTTTAAAAAAGACTTTAAAAAAAGATTGAAAAATGATGATCTGCAATGGCACAGAAAAGACAGTGAATGATTTAACAATTTAATTTATATGTGAGCGCTCGTATATTAGTACTATGTTTCATTTCTAAATTTCAGATTTTACATGCATGTATTGCTATTGCTGTATTTTAGACTACTTTTGTTGTATGTAATGTAGTAATTTACAGCGTTAACGGTTAAAAATATTTACCTTCTTTGTAGAGTCAGCCAGTCCAGCCTGCTGAGAATGTCTCGTCCATAAACAGCCAGCATCCACCTGTGTGAAGGAATATCTGCTGGCTCAGGTGGTTCATGGAACTTGACAGGGAGCAGGCTTGGCCGGGCAGCAAAGTCCGAGCGTGCCCCAAGGTATCGGCAGAGGCGCTTAAGCCACTCCTCGCTGTGGTTTTCCCTCAGCTGTCTGACCAAGCGAGTGGGACTGTTACCGAGGGCCCTCTCCCTCAGAAAGCGAATCACCCGCATATCACAAGCATATCTGTTTTAAGCAAAGGGAAAGAGAGAAAGAAGGGGACAAATATTAAAACCAGCTCATCTGTAGTGTGTTCAATGACAAACATCTGTGACCTAGGCTAAATTCTCTCAGTATACTCACTTTCGAGTCAGGATCAGTCTGAACTCCGGCCTGTGCGCCAAATCCAGCTGTTCCAAGACAGTCTTGCTGGTGGAAAGGCAAGTTGTTTTGCAACCAACTGCACTGCACCAGAGAGTCTCTGTTATCAGGTAATACCTGTCGACATCCAGAACGTGGCGGGCTCCACACACAGGACAGGTCAGCCTGACCTTCAATAGGTGGTATGGCATCCACAAGAGAAGGCGGTGTGTAAAAAAGCGCTCTGGATTGGGGGCCTGGTGATAAATGAGGGCTGGCTCTGGCGGATCATACCACAGTTTTAGGTCAGTGCTGGTGCTTCCAGAGAGCTGCTGAGATCCATTTCTGATCTTGTGCTGGCATGGTCTTGATCAGCTTTGTGGGCAGCCAGCAAGGCTCTGACCCAGGATCAGTCTCCACATCTTCAGCCAGTGGCAGAGTATCTGGTGCAGGCTGGGCTGAAGGACCAGCCACAGATGGAGCAGCAGAGGAGACACCAGCAGAGGGAGATGCAGAGGTCACAGGAGCGAGAGGAGCAGAGGAGGTACCAGGAGATACAGGAGGAGGCGGCAGATGACACTTCCTAATTTATAATTCAAAAAAAGTAAATATATAGACATGATTACAAGCCACTCATGAAGAATGCTTGTTTCAAGTGTAGTTAAATATCAATGTGAAGAAAACAACTTAATTTAGTTTCTTACAGCCCTGGCAGTGGCCAGAGGAATGGAGGAAGTTGAGTCGGTTGAAG